CAGTCTACATAGCCTGTAATGCATAGATACATACCTCTGTTCTTTTCTTGAACTTTGGGGTTACATTAACTATTTTCCGTTCTCATAGTATTATTCCTGCTTTGAAGGAACTGGAGACGCATTTGGTCAGAACACTGTTAACTTCTCTGTCAGATCCTTGTGTACTTGCATATGCAATCTAATTAGAGCCAATTGTTTTATAAATCTTCAATTTTGTATATTTCTTTGCTGATGTTTCTTTCTGAATTACTTCTGAAACTTTTGTAACACAATGAGACATACTAGTACAATGAAAATGGATTAAAATATACATAGAATGTCAGCATACAATCTTTTCAGGTTGTTTCTTGTCTGAGGAAGTTTCTGCTAATGAATTACCATTGACAGATCACGTAGCCAGAAAAGTGCTCAGTTGTATAGTCTACAGGAGACCCCTGTTATAGCGCCCTTAACTATATCTCTACCTCACTTACATTTGGGACCTATTGTTGACCTGTCCTAGCTGGAAGCACAATACACCAGCTTTCGATGCTATCTAGTTGGCTTTCTGTGCTAAAACAAAATAGTGAACTCACTTGATATCAACAATGCTTCCTGTGCATAGTACCCGTGTGCAGTATGCAGGAAATGAGTAGCACATACATTGATGTGAATGGTGATTTAATAACCCAGGAGACAAACATTTTTTACACGTTGCTTACAATTCAGCTGGTGAGAAATTGGGTGTAGACGATTGTGTTTTCCTGTAGTTCATCCATTGTTTTTTTCACACTAAATTTTCTCTGTCCATCTCCCTTTATGGTAGTTGACTCCTTTTTTTCTTTTATTTGGATACAGTTCTGCAAGATAACAGCACTTACACTTCCTTACCAAGTAACAATTCTTGCCACCCTTACTTTCATGAAGTTTTTTTTGTCTGATTCGTATTTTTCTCGCATGCTCCTGAGATTCAGCACAAGGTCTGTCTAACTGCAAGGTGGTGCATCTGTGTTAACTTGGATCAATCTCCTATTTGCTTCACTGTTTCACGGGCTCCACACCCCCAGAGAGTTGAGTTTAAGTTCCTCGTCTTCACTTTTAAAGCCCTTCACAGTCTTGCGCCTCCCTACCTTTGTGACTCACTAAAACATTACCATCCTGCCCGTTCCCTCTGCCTCGTCCCTTCCTTGCCTCCTTCAAGGTTCATCTCAAGACCTTCCTCTTTGACCGCGCCTTTGGTCACCCCACCTCCACTTCCAACCCTTCTTGGCCCCCATCACACTGGAAGGTCTCAGACGTCCTCCCGACGTGAAAGGCGCTCTATAAATGCAATCTTGTTGTTGTTGTTGTTGTTGACTGCAACCTCCAACTCAGGTGCAAACCCTTGACTGTCCAGTGCCTTGGGATGTCCTCCCAACATGAAAGGTGATATATAAATGCAATTACATTTTTTTAAAACATGCAATGATTTTTAAACTGTTTTATAAGGAGAAAAATTTGGAAATTCGCTTCTAACTCCACACCCATCCTATTACAAATGAATAATTCTTGCATTTGGTATAGCATCTTATTGTGTCAAAACATCTCAAAGCACTTCAAAGTTTTTGCTGTAAATCATTGGGATTATGTATTTGTAGACTAACACAGCAGCCAATTTACAGCAGTGGCCCGTAAACAGCCATGAAGTGAATTACCAATTTTATTTGAGAGATTGTTGACCAGGATACCAGGAGAAACTCCCTTTATTTTTGAATAATGCTATGGGATCTTTATCGTCCAATTGAACAGACAGACGGGACCTTGGTGCAACATCTCGTCTGAAGGATGGCACCTCTGACAATTGAGCATTCCCCCCAGTATACATTGAAGTGTAATATCTGTTTATCAGATGAGATGTTGCTCAGGGGACGCTAAAGAACTTTTGATACAAAAAATGAAGTTGACAAATATAGTATTTGTTGATTCTTTTTTCGTAAATATTTTTAAAGTGTTCCCACCACTCAAGTTTTTTTTAACACTTCCTCTAAACTTACTATTTCTTGGCCTTGAGCATCAGCTGGCATCTCGGACTTTGCTCACATGACAATTATTTATGTGTGATGGTGAGTTTCAGTAAACTATTTGGCCATTGGGCCTCATCCTCACTTTCAAGGCCCCCATGTCGTTGCCTCCTCCTACCTCTCTGACCTGCTAACCCTCTATCAATCTGTCCGTTCCCTCCGTTCAGCAGGCTCCAACCTGCTCCATGTCTCCCGCCTGACCCGCCCTACCATCAGCGGCTGGGCTTTCCGCTTCTCTGCCCCCACCATTTGGAATTCCATCCCACAATCCTTTTGTCTTGCTCCCTCCCTCAAGCTCGATTCAAGACCCTCTTTTTCAATTGTGCCTTCAGCCGCCCTCCAGCTCTCTGGGACGACCTCCCGACGTGAAAGGCGCTTTGCAAGTGTAATTTTGTTGTTGTTGTAGGTGTAGATCATCTCAAGACTGCTGTAATATCTTGGCTGCCTCCTTTGATTCCACAGTACACGCTAGCTTGGTTTCGATCCAAATGTAATCTTGTTGTTGTGTTCTGAAAGGCCCTATACCAAATGCAAGGATTATTATTTTTATTCCTATTTAGATCTGGCTTAGAAACACTCTTTGAAGATGCCTATAGTGCCTATAGTGACTTCTCCCTCCTTCCTCTCTTGCTCTGCATCTAACACCATGTGAAGCGCTTCGAGATGTAATCTTCCGTGAAGAGTGTTGAATAAATGCAAGTTGTTATATCTGACACAAAAAAGTGCTTAATTTTTCATAATGTACACAAACTATATAAAACTGCTCCCATCTTATAGAGTTATAGAACCTGTAGTTTTCTTGTGCTTAAAAACTGCGCTTACTGTAGTAAACATTTTGTAAGAACATATATATTCATTGTAATATATTGCCTAAGACTGTCTTTCAAATTTTAAAAAAAGTCAGTTGTTGCCTTTGTGCTGCTTGGGAATACCTTGGGATGTTCTCCTGACGTCAAAGGCTCTAATCAAATGTAATTTGTCGGTGCTGTGGATCAGACCATATAAGCTAAATTTTACGAATCTATTTTTATTTGAACTATAAAAACCAAATCATGACTTTTTAAGTTAAATTGTACTCATTATTTGCTTGCAATCAATAAAAACAGTATTGACAAACTGTGCAACAAGGTACCATTATTGATGATAAAGGTTATTGTTCTCCTCTTGCCTTACAATGCTGTGGAGTTGACACCAAAACTATTTTTTTTGCTGATCCAGTATAAATCTAAAAGGCATCTAGGATAACATAGGCCTTTAACTAGTTGACCTTTTGAAAGAAGAAAAGAGAAAGTAGTATTTATTTTTAATGCATCGTATGCAGACCTGCACTAAAGCTATCCTTGTAAAATTTGATACAAATTTCTTTAATGTGTACCCTGTTGGGGTTTGCATTTTTATGATAAACAACACTCCATTCTGTTCGTTATCACAGGATGAAAGCTCTTGAACTTTGTATATAGATTTTACTGCTACATCATGTACTGCTCGTAAGATTGAGATCTCATTCACCAGGAAACATTAGGCCAAGTTTTCTTTCAAGATTAATTGCCCTTTTAAATTGAGTGTTTGATGTCTCCCTTTGGTGTATCCTGACTGGTTAATCCTCTTTTGACCTGACCCACTGGCTATTACTGCAATTGCTATGGCAAAATCTTTCACCCTGATGTATGCGCTGAAGACGTCAGCCTGTGGTTTTTGTGTAGATGGATTCAATTAAATAGATGTTTACTGATGAATAGAATAAAGGTTAAGGATTTGTCAGACCTAAACAAACTGTCCAGACTTTTAAGTCAGCTATATGGATTGTCTGGTATTCTGTTTTCAATTTACCAGTAATTTTGAAGAATATATAAGGGAAAACATTTTGGGCAAGTCTCGACTCCTGCCCTAAACATTTTTCTGTGTTCAATTTGTGACATTTCTTATGAGTTCAGCTTTTCCATTAGTAAGAATTGGAAAGCTTGAGATTCCAATTGCACCTTCTGCCCCTCACTGACCAAAAAGTCCATACATGGACAGATCTTCCTCTGCCATAGTATTTGTATTTACTGATTTTTTTTTTGTGCGAAAGTTGATATTATGAGTTGGTACATGTGGTACCTATACACAGGAGCACAATAACTGCTGACCTAAGATAACATTGTATTGCAAGCATTTCAAGCACCACAAAAAATGCAAGGATTATAATTTCTAAAATTACTATGAAGCTCAGGTTAATTGCAAAATTATATTTTCTTGCTATTAGGTTAAGCAGTATACAGCAGTATTGTGCAATGTTTCATTATGCAGTTTAACATGGTTCAATGCAAGTGTAGATGGGGCATGACTTAGTTTCTATGAAGGAGTAGTGCACATATTTTTCATTTCTGTAATGTGTTTTGCATGTGATGTTTCCCACATCTTGCTATATTGTTCTTACAAATACAGTCAGTCACTGCAGTTCACTTATAGTAAATCCTGTGACGCCTTTTAAATGTAAGGATTATATTTATATGTATATTATGTATAATTAGGAGTAAAGGTCACATTTTCAATTAATAATGTATAATGATGCTTAATCCTGGAGAATATAATGTCAAAACACACTTAGTCTGAGTGCCCTAGTATCCAAATCTACTGTCTTGATGACTAGGTAATGCAAATATTAGGAAAATCTTAGGTCTAATATTTCACCTGGTAAACCATTTTGACTTTAAATTTAAGATTGCACAGAATTCTTAAATTCAGTCTTAATTTGGAAGTCAGTTTTCTGCAGTTCTGAAAAATAGACAGGGTCCAAATTAAACCTGAAATTAAAATGTTTCTTCAATCCTGCATGAGCGTACTTTTTAGGTCAAAGACTAGGTGGAAAATAGAGCTTAGCTTGTGCATTCTGGATGGCATGTGTTGCATTTTTCTGTATTTTAAGTGGATATTTATATTTAACCCTATGTGTTTTTATTTTGTTTGTGCTTTCAATAGATGAGGAGAAACCATATCAAGTTCTGATTCATGGGATTGAGCCAATGCTGGAGACACCATTACAGTGGCTCAGCGAGCATCTGAGCTACCCAGACAATTTCCTGCATATTAGTATCAATCACCTGTCTAGAGACTGAGAAAGCAGGGAACTCACAGATAGTAAAAAGCAAACCGCCCCCTCACTGGACTTGCCAGAGCAGTTATATCTACTTCCATTGAACCTGCCGGAAGCAACCCGACCAGAAAAAAACTCGCTGCTGCAAGCCAAACAGAAAGAAAGATCCTAAAATCAGATATGGGGCTGGTCCTAGTTTGCATCACTGCTACAATTCTGCTGTCGTCATAAAACCTCACTTGCGACATGAAAGACTTCTCAAGACCACTTTGTCTCATGTTTCTTGTAAAACAGTGAATGTGTTATTTTCTAAGACGACAGGCAGTGGAAACATGCAATGTTTGATTTGTCCTCCTGATTAACAAATAAACGAGGGTATTTCCAAAAGTGACCATGACTTAATTAGAGAATGAGAGAATGGAAAAAATAGGTTTATGCTTAGCAAAGGACTATCCTGTCTTGCAGGAAATCAAGTAGCATGTGAAGATGCTAGCAAGAATTCTATAGAAATATCTGTCTTTGTTTTGCTACTCTCTTTCCTTGGAATTTACACATCTTCCTCAGCCATATGTTCTAGTTAGAAGGCTGTAAACTCCAGCATGCTGTGTATATGTTCTGTTGTTTGAGATTACAAAGCAAACCCAAAATTATATTCATCAAAGGATGCACAAACAGGAAATCAAACATTTTACTTGTTGATGAATATGTAAACATGGAAAATTATGGTTATGTACCAGACATAAATTCTGAATTTTAAAAACGTTAGTTGAAGCATTTGTTTTCTATTTCTAGATGTGAATAAAAATTCCATAACTGTGATTATCAGATTGCACACCATTTTCAAAGCATGCTGTTTCACTGTTTTACATTTCTATGGGTATACACCAATCAGGTTTTATCATAATCATGCATTTTAGGCATCTTTTTGCATCCTTGCAGTAAACAATGCAGTGTTTCTGATTTGCATATTTACATGTGCAGATGGCTGAAATGACTTGTGGATTAAGTACAGGTGGAATCGTTGTTTGCTAAATGCCCCCTTTTAAGGAGATTTTATGGGACAGTGTAGCTTCAGTTTGTAGTTAATGGCTCTGAGTGCTGATAAGATCGACTAGGAAATTGCTGTACATGATTACAGTGGAACCAAAAGTGAACCAAATATCTTTCCCGTGGCTGCACCCAAACATTGTGGCTAAAGAGTAGTTTCAGCGGGGAAAATGGCAAGGGGTGATTTACTATAGCAGACTGAGATTACACATCAAAGACTCAGAAACGCTTTCACAAACCAATTATTAAATAAAGCTCGTCATGAAAAATATCCACTGTATTTTGTTTTTGCTATAAATCAGATTGTTAGCCTTTAATCCTAATTTAGTTACAGTGTGCATACCAGAGGTATGTAGGATATTGTAGCAGTACTGGCTGTAGGAAAACCTATTATAGAAGTTCAAAAATGCATTTTGGACTTCCAACACATCAAAATGGTGCGTTAAACTTCAACACGATTGTAATACTATTTGTGCAGATGTTCAGAGAAGAAAAGAGATGTTCAGAGAAGAAGAGCAAGCCAAACTCCTAAGAGAAATATTAAAGGACAGTTATAGAAAAGATAAATTGAAAGCTCAGCAGTAAGTTAACCATCTCCTATGGGAGATTCATAACTCACAGAGAAAGGTAAGTTATAATTGTCTTTTGTAGAAGCGAAAGAACAACTGGACTTGCTGTCACTGGAGAGCTAGCCATTTATGGGATCGAATAGTTCCTGAAATATGAATATAAATCCTAAATTTGGAGTGTTCCACGTGCCTAACAATTACATATTAATTCATCATGTTTTTATTTTCCAGTTGTGTGATTTATTACTCCACTGGCCAGTGAAAATCTGGTCTTTTAAGGAGGGCTGTAAACTTGTCAACCAATTCACCATTTCAAATGGATGTTTGCAGGACTCATTTAATGTACTGTATGTTTGCCGCAACATTCAGAGGAAGCCGCTCTGTACTAAAACACCTGCTTGAGATCTTAAATACCATTTTACCCCTTGAGATCTTAAAGCTGTTTGCTTTATATTTGAAAAGGGATTGACACTCATAGAATTTTAACTTTTGGTTTAATAGTTATATAACATGCTGAATGAAATTAGTCAAAAAAGTCAGGAATACACTTTCCCTGAATTTTTGATACAGGAAAAGATTCCTGTATAATTTGGGTTGGTTGTATCTTAGCTATTCCTACCACTATCCATTTGTGGTTTACATGAGGAAATTAGTTAAAGCAATATTGTGTTTCCTTTGTGGCACTGGTCAAGGTACAATAAGTAGAAGCTTGTCCAAATGTTGTACAAATGCTTATCAGTGAACCTAATTGTCTAATACATGCGTGGAAGATAATGTGCAGTTCTTGTGATACTTTGGTATTGTTAACTTTTAATTATGCTGCAAAACTAGTTATTTTGATAATAAAAAAAGACTCAAGCCTGGCCTTTTACTTAAATTTTTCAATGTTCATGTCATTTTTTTAAAAAAACATTTCAACAGCATTACGTCTAATCTCTCTAGCTGTCCTGCACAGAGTTAATTAAAAATAAATGAAATTTGTTCCGATCAAAAGTTCCAATCTTCAATTTAATGCAACCTATTTAAATAAACAGAAGTGGTTTCGAAAATCCTCTCTAGATCAGAGTGCTTTTACACATTGGCTGAAGGACAAAACATGCTCTAGTAGTGAGCACTTTTGAGTGTCAGGTATTTACCTCATAGATATATTCCATGTCGTCATTGTTTTATTTTTCTGTTCTACGTAGTTAGAAATCCCATTTGAACTTCCTTGTAGAGAAAGTCAAAATGATACTCTCTGGTGACAGGCCAAGGGGAATTGTGTATGTATGTTACTTGCAGTTAGTCACTTTATTTGTACTGTTCAGAGTAAATTCTCCTCCTTCTATCCCCCTCCCCACCCCCCCACCCCAATCCTTAGTGAACTCTGATGCTATCAAGTCTCTACTGTGATTCCCTGGAGAATTGCTTAACCACTGTTAATGAAAAGCATCTCTTAATATCTTCCGAGCACTGATTTCCACTTTAGCCTTATGGGTCTATTACAGGACACATTTGTAGTCAGTCGGAAAGTGTCAGTAGATATTCAAAGGATAATTATTGCAGTCAAATGTCAGTGATGTACCTGTATTTTTCTTGAAAAACAGTTTTGCCTATTTCGCCAGTTCACCCATCCCAATTATGTTTGATAAGTTAGTTGTTTTCCTTATTATTATAGAAACTGTCTGTGTCCCACTTCTCAGATCCCAATATTGCACACACTTCCAAGGACATTCAGCCTTTGTCAATACAATTCCTAGAGGATACGTGAGAGGAGTGCGAGGTGACTTACCTTCTGATTTCCTCTCTGGTAAAATCTGATCTCTGAGAAATACATGTTTGAATGGAGTAATACCTTTCACATGTAACATTCAAGTTTTAAAAGTACAAGACAAGGTAGTCTTTCAGGACGTGATTAACGTGCAGCTCATCTGGCAAATATAGCCAATTGTCTCAGTGCAGTATATTTTTCCAGTAAGATCCCCTCTTCCTACCATGTGGCTCTACAGTCACAATAATCTTCATCAGTGTTGTAAAGGGACAGGAGAGGACCAGACTGCTCATCTTAAAACACTTCACAAGACACAAGATTTAATGTAAAATAAAGAAATTCAAGAGAACTAACACAGTAACTTGAATTTCTTAAAAGATATTCAGGCAAGTAAAATATGTTAGGTTAAATTAGAAGCCTCCAACATACAAAGTCACAACACATTACAGTAGATCCTGTGAAACACTTTGCAATGTCCTCCTGACACGAAAGATACTAAATCAAATGCTATATCTTTATTCACAGTTGGGGGGGGGGGGGAGTAAATGAGTCTCTTTGGAGCTGAGCTGGCTTCACAGTAAAATGCCTTGACAACAGTATGTTGGAATCAAGCCAACCCTCTGTGGTGGTAGTTGGGTTCCTGAGCCAGACAGGAATCTTCTACATGGTATCTTCAACATCTGCCTCAATAACATGCAGACAGGATCATAATTTAATGTCTCATCTGAAGAAGAGTAATAGTAGTACAGTAGAGTACAAAATTAAGTGCTCCACAGCGCTGGTCAGCCAGAGTTTCGGTCCTGGATTATGCGTTAAAGTCCCAGTGTGAGGCTTGAGTTTGTAACCTTTTGATCTGCAACAACTTGCATTTCTATAGAGTCTTCAGCCAGGGTAGCATCTCAGAGTGCTTAAAGAGCTGAGAGTGCTACCTACTGAGCCAAGCTAAGATCTAAATAATATAAGGTTCTCTCATAGAGTACGAAGACAGGTAAGTTGTCATGATTCATATACTGTGAACTGCACTATCAATATGAACATTGAAACAGACAAAACTGGTTTCTTCTGTACAATGTCTTTACTAGTAAATCTATTGACTCACAAAACAAACAAGAAATAGGTTTCAAATCTTGACACTGAAGGAGAGTGTGGGAAGTTGGAAAATTTGAGACGACGCCCAAATAAGCAAAAGTACACCGATGGAAATTTATCATAGATCTTGCAGAACTCTCATCTTTCTTAACTGAATATATAGAATTGTGTCTCTGATTGCTGGAAGCTATGTGTATTGTTGGCGGGAAGCAGATCTATCAACCATATCACTGGGGTGTGCCCAGAGATGAAAGACTTTGGGGCAGAAGTTGTACACTTTTTAGCAAAACTGGTCAACCTCAAACTGCCTGTTGATCCAGTTCATTGCTTGCTAAGGTTGGCAGTTCATTTCAGTTTCACAGTGTAGCTGTTAGAGTGTAGAATCAAGATAACTGCTTTGCGCAATTGGCTGCCACATTTTGCCCACAAATATACGGTCAATTCAATATTCTTGAGAAGTCTAGAAGACGTGAAAAGCGCTATATCAAATGGAAGGATTATTATATACCTTTACTCACTCAACTGTGTGTCTTTTTGCTTGGCAACAGAATGATTGCTCTCAATAGCTCTCCTACCTTTTGTACTCTACAAGAAATGTTTTAGAAGGGATAAGATAGGGTAACCTTTAGCATATTACTCAACTTGCTTCACAAGATCTCTGGTTTTTTGGCATCTTTTATTTTTCTGAAACTCGGTCTAGAAGTACAATATTACTCTACTAGTTTTATAACAAATAAAATAATATATTGCTTACAGAGTGTACAGCTGGCAATACTCGTTTGAGAGACACATGCACTGTCTTCCCTTTCTTTTCACGCTGCCTTTTAATTATCAATGAATTCTGCAGACCAGCAAGGTAAGCTGAACCTGTTATTAGACTGGGCCCTAAATTGCAAGTTGCATTTGCAAATATCTTAGATGTATTGTGATCA